TAGTTTTCTCACAAACATTTCAATTTGAAGAAACTGACTCCAATTTTTGCAACAATTGAAATCGATGACACAAAAAAATTTATGTTTAAAGCAGTTGTTTCTATAAGCATTGAAAATGCTACATAATTTCTTTGTTAAAATTTTTTTTTAAAGAGTTTAAAATGCCAAAATTATTGTAAAAATTATAAAATAATAATAATAAATTAAATAAATAATAAAACATTTATTTAAATTAATAATGAAATTAAATGTTAATTTAAATGATTTAACATATATAATAAAAACTAGGCTGTGTAATTAAAAATAAAACTCATATCAACAATTTTAAAATAAAAAGTCTTTTTAGTTTTGTAAGTTTAATTCTTTATTTTTTTTATTTGTAATCTTTCATTATGTTTTTTTATTGAATACAAAGATTATAAATAAAATAAATTAACAATTTTTTAAATTTAAAACTCAAGATTTTTGTCAAGATTCAACGATGACATCATGTGCTAAAGATATTAAGAAATAAATGCACTTGAATAAATTATCACTGGTAATCGTCGTCCAAATATTTTTCCAAGAAAAGCCATTGTATATTTATGTATATATATTTATATTTAAATAAATAAATTGCATACATTGTGATACCAGAGAAAATATAATTTTTATATAAAAAAATTTAAATAGAAAAAATTTTTTTTAGTCAATTGACAATGATTGGAATTGTGCTGCTGAGGCAAGTGGCAATAAAGTATTCAATATTTCAAATGAGTTGTCGAAAGAAATTTCCATAGATAATAATAAGAATGTAAATAGTTATTTTTTTTAAAAAGTCTTTTTTGTAACTTTATATGAATAGATAAACTAGAATTAAAATTTAAGAAGATAAAAGTTTTTATAATATTTAATAATTTTAGAAATATTGTAAATGCTTAACACTATGTATATTAAATTATTATGGTTTATAGATACCAATTGATGAACATATTGGTGTTACTTGTTTATCTCCTGTTTTTCCTGAATTTTGTATGAAAAAGGTACACATTTTTTCCCTAGAATAGCGATTTTACGGGAAAGGGGTGTAAAGAGTGTGACTATTAACATTTAGTTGGTTTTTTCAGGACCTTAGTAGGCCAGTTGGTAGATTCGGAGTTTTGAGGACATTTCTTTTTTTTACAAAATTTATAAAATCACCCTTCCCCCTTATTTTATTTGTATAATCGCCCCTGTGTATATATATTTATATTTAAATAAATGAATTGTATGCTTTGTGATTCCAGAGAAAATATTATTGTTATTTATAAAGCACTAAAAAATTTAAATGCAAAAACATTTTTTTTAGTCAATCAAAAATGTTTGGGATTGTGCTGTTGTGGCAAGTGGCAATAAAGTATTTCATATTTCAAATGAGTTGTCAAAAGAAAAATTCACAGATAATAATAAGAATGAAAATAATAATTTTTTTTAAAGTCTTTTTTGTAGTTTTTTATGAATAGATAAAATAGAATTAAAATTTAAGAAGATAAAAGTTTTTATAATATTCAGAAAAATATAATTTTAGAAATATTGTAAATGCTTAACACTATGTATATTGAATTATTATGGTTTATAGATTGATGAACAATTCGATGTTACTTGTTTATCTCCTGTTTCTCCTAAATTTTGTATGAAAAAGGTAAAATAGAAATAATTAATTATATTACTATAAATAATTAATTTTATTACTGAGGTTTTATAAATAACTATAAATAATTTAGTCAAAGTATTTAGCAGTTCTAAAGTATCTAGCCGTCATGGTGCAGAAGTTAGTGAACTTGCTTCAAAAACAATAGATCTGTGGTTTAAAGCCACCTCTAATCAACTTTTACAACACCAGTTTGGAAGGAGATATGAACTACCTGTTAAATCCTATTCGGCAGTGCTCTTAATTTTAAGGACTTCTTGGGGGCACCTAAAAGAAATTTAAAAAAATTTATTTATTATTCATACTTTCTTATATTTTAGTCCAGTTAATTTCAGTTTGTTGAAAAGATAAACAATGTTTTAAAGTCCAAATCATTCCCAAAATGAGTAAGCAATACAATTATACATTAAAATAAAATTTTATTGATTTTATTTGGTCTACTGATGACGCTCCATTTATAGATTTCAGTGGTAATATGCATTGTAAGTGAAAATTTCATCTTTTGCATTTAGGCAATGGCTGGCTTCAAGTTGCTATGGGTTATTGAATGGCGATTTGTGTAGCAATTTTTCTAGAGTGCTATCTGATACAAACGTATTTTTTTAAAGTTATTTAAATGAAATGTTTTTATATTAAGCAGCAACATATTATAAAACAATTACATATGGTAAGAAATATAGCAGCTCCAGAGCTGGCTCTTGAGCCAGCTCCTTCAATAAATATTGACCTGCTATATTTCTTACTATTTAATTTTTATTTTGTAAAAAATATATCTAAGTACTATAAACATTATTTTGTGAAAGAATTAAAAATATATATTTAAAAAATTATGGTATATAAAAAAGTCACTATTGGGTTTTTATGATATCCTAAATTTCTTGAATATATATAGATCAATATTAAACTGTTAAATATTTCATTTGATCTGTTAAACTTTGAAATTTATATTTTTAAATTTATACTCGTTATATAAAGTATATAAAATTGTTTAAAATAAGTATTAGCGTTTTTAAGTAATTGTTGACATTTTTTTAGAAATTAATTTTATTGCAACAGTTTAATATGTCATGTGGTTCATATTCTCGGGTTATGATAAGTCACTTTAAAACAATACCTTGAAACATTGTCAATGATTTGATTAACAGAAATTTATTTTATCCGTCTATTCACATGCCATGTAGTCACATGATTTGTTTAAACTTTTTACATTTGTTGAAACATTTTTAAATCGATTTAAGCATGTGAATACTGTTCTAAATAAAATTAAGAAAAACTTTAAAAAGATATTTTGAGTTAATCTAGTATTAGTTATTATTTATCTTTACAATTTTTATTTATTTTTAATACTGTTTTTATTTATTGATTGATAATGTGTGTTATTGATAAGTATTCATCTTAATTAGTTGATTGAGATTTTTAAGTAATTATTTCATTGATAGGTAAATAAAGAGAATAGATAAATAGATAAAGATAGCTATTTACTTAACAATTGAATATTTAAATTAATTTTAAAGATATTAATAAAATTTTATGGGCATCTGTAGAGCAATGGAAGGAATAGGAAATTTAAAAGTTAAAATCAACTTTTGAGAGAATTAAAGAATACCCCAAAAAGATACAAAAGGCCTGTAAAGTAGTAACTTTACAGGCCTTTTGTATCTTTTTGGTAATAAGTTATTACTTTACAAGTTTAAGAGGCTGTTTTCAGCACCGAAATTTATATCAAGTGATCTGTTTGAGTTCCTCACTTAAAACTGATTTTTTAGATAAAATTTTATTATTAATAAAATATTATTTTAAAATATTAACTTAGGGGAGGGCAAAGTATTTATAAATTTTATAAATTTTAATCACTTCAATATTTTCTTAATCAGACTTAAACTCTCTGATAAAAATAATTTGATTGTTTTGTTTTACTTTTGTAATATAAAATAAGTTTAATGACCTGCTAAATGTATTACTAATTTTATTACTATAATTTTTGAAAGTTGTATATTTATTATGTTTCTTTTTTTACTATTAGAAGTATCGATTTCCATATTGTTTCGGCCATTTCAGACCAAGTAAAATAATTTAAAGAAAAAATTTATTTATTTGATTTTTAAGACAGAAACACAAAATTTATTATATTAATATTTTATTATTTTTGTATAAAACTCTTGGTTTCTGGGATTAACAATACTTGTGTTATGGTAGAGGATTTATTTGTTTCTGAATCTGATTCAGATTTAGAAACTGTAAGATCGTGAAATTTAATTTTTAATTCTATCTAATGTATAAATTAAAGTGATGCAAAAAAGATGTTTTATTTTTCTTTTCTTTATAGGATAATGTACTGGATAAATTTCTTATTCCGGTGAACAAACCCGTCCAAAGCAAGGAAACAAAATGTGATCTAGAGGTATAAAATTAGTTTTCTAGATATGAAATATACCGTTACTGATGATGTCCATGAATTTTAATAAAAGTTATAAATGATAAATCTTCTTACAACATATATATACAACTTACAACAACAACTTACAACATTACAACATTTAATTTTGTAAAACTTGCTCAAAGTTTTTTTTTTTAATATTAAAAACAACAACTTTTTTTGGGTTATAAGGATAGAAACACAAAATTTTTTTTGGGTACGTTTAATCCAATTTTCCACACTAGTGTGGTTTAGATAGTTATTCATAATGACATAGATGCCATTACTTGATGTAAGGATAAGTCAGATTACATCGGCCCTAAGTGACCCTTAATTCGCAGTTTAGACCCGCATAAACTGTTTTTAACCTGCTGACCCGCAATAGTGTTTAAAAATCCTGGGGAGCAGATTTTCTACATAGTTGCAAAAAACAAGACCAAATGCAGAGCGTTTGTATCAAATGAAGTAACAACTATATCATTATTGACATACAAAAAAAATTTTTTTAACCACAATGCTTGTTTCAATTATATTCCAGAAGCAAAGACTCTTGTGGCCAAAACACTGCATTACTGTACAATAATAAATAAATTCAGTAAATCTGATGTTTTTTACAAATAGCATATGCAACGTATTAAATTAAATTTTTTGCCACAAAAATCCATGGCCTTCTACTGATTTTTAAAAAGTTGAGACCTATGGATTATCCTTACGTTCTGACAGAACACAAAGTTTTTAATGTTAATAATTTTTTTTTATAAAACTATAGGTTTCTGTGATCAACGAAACTTGTGTTATGGTAGAAGATTTATTTGTTTCTAAATCTAGTTCATGTTTTAAAACTGTAAGTTCTTAAAATTTAATTTTTAATTCTATTTAATGTATAAATTAAAGTGACGCAAAAAAGATTTTTTATTTTCCTTTTCTTTATAGGATAGTATACTAGATAAATTTCTTATTCCAGTGAATAAACCCGTCCAAAGCAAGGAAACAAAATGTGATCAAGATGTACAAAGTTAATTTTCTAGATATGAAATATACCATTAGTGGTATCGTTTGAACCTTAAAAAAAAACAATAAATACTCTGGATTCATGGATGTAAAACTCAAAAATTAAAATATTAAAAAATATTTTTTTTTAATTGAAATGATGTTATTTATATTATTTTGCGATACGCTATATTTACGTTATGTTTTATATTTTAGTTTGATTTATTGCAATTGGTTGATGAGGGAGAACCCCAAGTTGAGTAAGTAATGTTAAACACATAGCAAAAGAGTTTTATCAATTGTATTTGATGAGGTCTACTAATTATGCTGCATTGTGTTTATTTTGGAAATTTTAGGGATTTAAATTTTTATAACTTTTTGTAGACAATGGGTTACTTCAAGTTGCTATGATTCTTTGAATGGAGATTTATTCGGAGCTCTATCTGATACAAAGGTATTTTTTTAAGAATTAAAAATTAACTTTTCTATTTTACTTTAGCTAATATATTTGTTATTACTGCAGTTATTCATTTGATTTTTGAAAATTAAAGGAAATTAAATTTCTAGATATGAAAAATACCATCATAGTTTTGTAATTTCAAATATATTTTTCACAGCATGATGGAATAATTATAATTTGTTGCAAAAATAATAACTTTTTGTTTTACATATTTCCATGTGAGTCATCTAACCTTAATATCTTTTTAGTTTGTCTTTAGTTTGTTTGAACAGTATTCATATTTTTATTCATCTCCAACCTATTACAGGTGTTCATTCAAATGTTATTTTTTTAACTTAATTACCCCCTAACAATCAACCACTATTTTAGTTTGGGACAGAAAACAGAGAGCAATGTTAAAGAGCGAGATTTAAAGAGAAAGATTTAAACAAAATTTAGCAACTTTGAGTTGACAAAAAATTTGACAAAAAATTTTGAGTTGACAAAAAATTTTGAAATCAGTAAAAAACATTTGTATAAACGACTTGTCAGCCAATCAAAGAAATCTCCTGTAAGGCATGCTACACAATTGATATCTTACTGATAACAAATTTAATTAAGTTATCTCATTTTATAAGGGCAAAATTTTAGAGTTATTTAAGTAATTAAGAGTTAGTGAAGAGTTATAGAAATTATTTTATTTAGCTAAACCAGTTCAGTAAAAAATTTGTTCAAGAGTTAACCACCACAGTTAGTAATGGTATTAGTTTATGCTGTGACTGGTATTGACACCAGTGATTGTGCTTTTAAGCACACTAAGACAGCTACATCTTGTGATGGTTTGACCTATTGATTAAGTCTTGCTATGAATTAATTTGTTGAAGTAGCCTTGACAACATTTTCAGGTATTGCATTCCATGAGCTTGCTCGATTTAATAAAATATTTTCTCTATGTTTATGTACTAAAAATTCTTCAGAATATTTTAGGTTATGGCCACGAGTACAATTTAATTTAAAGGAATGATTTTCTTTAAATTCAACTTTATCATAACCTTTTTAATATAAAATTTAATATAGTTGTATTATAAAGTTTAAAATAATTTTGTCTATATAAGTGATGGTTTTTGAGTTTAATGGAAAAAGAAAAAACTCATTTTAGTTAATTAACTAAAATGAGTTTTAATCAATATTATTTAATTTGATTTAATATTTAACTGTTATACTATGTAAATATATTCTGAATTGATAATGATTTAGAACAGGAGTTCCCAACCCTAATCAAAACTTAAGTAATTGAATATTTTTTTTTGTGTAACTAGATTTATCCTGTAACTAATACCAGAGTTATGCAGGGCTCTAGAATGGTGGGGAAGCACCTCTAGTAGGCTATAAGCCCTAGGTCAAAACGCCCAGAAGTATGGCCCACTTAAAGGTTTCTCTATGTTTAACATCCCGAGCTAAGACGGATAGAATTTAAATTAAAAAAATAATTTCTGGGAAAATATTTAGTTAAGGAAAGGGTTTGTCAATTACAAATGGGTGGAGCCCGCCACCTTACCGATATTAAAGAATATGCTTTAGAGTAAAAAAAAGTCAGGAACCCCTGATTTATAAAAAAAATTTAAATGAAATTTATTATTAGATACAGAAGAATAAACGTCAAAGACCTCAACGCTATTGTGTCTTTTGCAAAAAATCTTTATTTAAATTGAAACGGCATATTAAAAGAAAAGATAAAGATGAGATAGCTGTAAAAGAGGCTCTCTTACTTCCAAAAGAATTGCAAGTCAAGGCATTTGCTCAATTTAGGAAAGAGGGAATTGTAAAATACAATAATGATCAAGCAATTTTAGATTTCCCCATGTATATCTCAGAAAGGGCCTTAAAAAAACAAAAAGACTTGACAAAATGTGGTTTTTGTAAAACTGTAGTCGTGAAAAGAACATTCTCGAGGCACAAAAAAGTATGTCAGTTAAGAACTAATGATCATGTTGTGCAAGTTCCTTTAACTGTTTCAGAGTTGCCTGAAGCATCACAATACAATAATTTGTTTATAACTCATATTATAGGAAAGTTTCGAAATAATAAAATTGGTTAAGTCTGTAGAACAGATCAAACTATCCTGAAAATTGGTTCAAAATTTTTTTGGAAATTGAATAAAAAGCAGGACAAAACTGTTGAAGTGTATCGTAGTATACGCAACGAAATGCGCCGTTTAGCACACTGTTACACTTTGTTCCTAAAACAAGAGGGAATTAAACAAAAACATAACAACTCATTAGATATGTTTAATCGAGTAAACATTGATATGCTGTCTAATGTTATTGAGGTTTACACCAAAAAAGATGATGTCGATATTAAAGCTGGATTAAAACAGAATTTGTACTACTTGTTAAAAAAAGTGTTACAGTGATGCAATTCATTTTTTATAGTAAAGGCATGGACGCTGAAGCTGAAGATGTGCAGAAATTTATTTATACTTTAAATTGGCAAGAATATCTTTTTGGTGACGCAACTTATAAACTGAACATTAGAAGTCAAGTCAACTTGCGAAAACCTGCCAAACTGCCTAGAGAGCAAGATTTACTCATACTGCGGAACTATATCTTGGAAACTATGAAACTGTTATGTGATGATTATGAGTTTCATGATTTACACAGTTATGTCAAACTTAGAAATTGTGCTTGCGCTAGATTAACTTTGTTATGTGGCAGGCGTGGTGGTGAGCCTGCGCGTATGTTATTAACGGATTGGAATCAAGCCTATAACAATGAATGGATTGACAGTCAAAGAGTTTATAAACTTGGCAAACTTGAAAATTTTCTTATTAAAACAATGAAAATAGCTTACATGACAGGCAAGGGAAATAATCATCTTGTGCCTGTCCTTATACCACAAGGCACTGTTGATGCAATCATAAAAATTGCTAGTAATGAGTTTCGAGAACAAGCAGGAGTATCGCCTCAAAATAAATTTCTTTTTGCAAGTGCTCAGGATTCTGATGCTCACATTTCTGGTTGGCAGGTTGGCAAAAATCCCAATGATATTATAGCTACCAACAATCTTCATTGCATTAGTACTTTGTTTGCTGCTTTAGATGTTCCTAAACGTGACAGGGTATTATTTTATTCTCACATGGGGCATTCTGAACAAATAAATATTAATTTCTATCAAGGCCCTCTAGCTTTGGAAGAAATTACAAACGTTGGAAAACATCTATTAGCCATTGATGCTGGTAATAATTGGTTTGATAAAAATATAAATTGTTGTATATTGCAAATAAGTTTTTTTTAACAGTAGTTTATGAATAATCTTTTTTTTGGTATTGTTTACATTATAGTATTATATAGAGTATTGTTAAAACAATTTTTTTTTTTTTCTACATATTTAATAAAACTTTTTACAACTTTAAAAAGTTAAACATTTAGTTGTGGGATAATATTTTAATATTTTTTTTTGAGTTAAAAAAATTGGAAAAAGTTCTTTCTGTAAAATAGTTTAATGTTTAATTTTCAACAAAACAAATGCATCAAGTTTTTCTTTATAATTAAATTTAATTTTAAAAGTGAGATTAGGAAAAAACATTTTAGCCACTTGCCAAGGTGACTCAGACTGTTACCTGATATAGTTTTTTAAGAAAAAATGTTTATTTCTAATTATATTTTTATTGGCAGGTTAAAAAGATTTTGTCTTCAAAAGTTTGTCAGTTGTAGTTGTAACAGTATATTATACTGAACCTTGTTTTTTTATATGAATTTGTTTAGGTGAAACCGGATCTTCAATATATTCAGAACCAGGTACATTTACTGTTAAATTCAAATCTGAATTAACCAATAAATTCAAAAGTTATAGAAAAAAAAAAAAAAAAAATGTATATATATATATATATATATATATATATATATATATATATATATATATATATATATATATATATATATATATATATATATATATATATATATATATATATATATATATACTTTACTGAATGAACATTAGGTGGCTTTTTTCTACGTAAATTTTGTACATTAGGGAGACACTTACAAAAAGGCTACAATTTCGTGTCGCCTTAACGTTTCTCTGTAATTTTTTGAAAAATTTGTTAATGCTGTGGACATAATTTTTTTTTTGAAATACGTTATGAAATAATGATCCAATTTTTTTTTATCCTAGCGGTTCTTATATTTTAAAACTTTTTTTTTTTTTTATTTTGCAATAATTTTTTATTAGGCTTTGCAATGACATCGCAAATGGTGGACGCTTTTTTCAAACCGTTGAAAATATCTTTTTAAAAAGTAAAAAAGAAAAGAAAACATTTATAAATTAAAACAAAAATGAAATCAACAAAAAAGAAGAATAAATAAATCGTTTAAAGGAAGAAAAGAAAAAGAAATGTTTGAAAGAAAATAAGTGAAAAAGTAACGAAAATAAAAGTTAAAAAAAAAAAAGTTAATGAATGAAATATATAAAAACAATGGCAAAAAAGGAAAAAAAAAAACATTTAAAAACCTCAATCGGCAAATCAAGATTTTTTATTTATTTTTTCATACATTTTTTTAGTTTTCTTTCATACATTTCTTAGTATTATTTATTTATTTTTCTTCAATTTTTTAGCGTTTATAGTTTTACTTTTTTTTTAGTGGTATATAAATTTTTTATACAATTATATATTATTTGTTTTTATTTTCATTTTAGCTATTTATTATATATGTTTAATTCTACCGTGTATTATAATTATTTTTTTTAATTTTAAGTTTTTTTTGTTGTTGTTTGTTTTATTTATTTTGCATAGTTTTTGTTTTGTTTCGTGATGTTTGTTGTAACTTGTTTTGTTTTGATTTCCTCCGTGTTTTTCTGTTTATATTTTATTTATTTATTTGGTCATAACATTTGCAATATATTTTGATTATTATATTTTAAAAACTATGATTATATTAATATATTTACTAAATCTTGATAATATTTTTAGCAGTAGTCGTTTTTATGTCATCGTTAGTTGTTACGTTTTGTCAGTTTATTGCTGTTTGTACTGTAGCTTTGTATGTAAAAATGATTGCTGTATGGAAAGTAATACCGATTTATTTAAATTATTACAATTACTTTATTATTATTGTTATTATTATTATTACTACTATTAATATTATCATTACTAAGATTAATTGTATATATATAATTTTTTTTTTAGGTATTTACTTGAGATTAGTATTTCAATACTATTTGTAAATAGCCTTGAAAATTTATTTTCAGAATATATATGATTGATTTCAGAATATATATGATTGATTGATTTAGTTTTCAATTATTTACTCATATATCTTACCGTTATAAATAACTGAACATAAGGGCGACACAAGCTTATTTGTAAAAAAGTACCATAAATCTTTTTTATATCTTTATTATATTTTTTTTAGTATGGTTTTAGTGTTAGATTTTTAAAATAGACCACTTTTTTTGTTGATATACCGTTTCGCTTCTTTGGAAATAAACTTTTTTTTTTTCGACAACAAATGTCTCCTAATGAAGCTATTACACAGTGCATTAGCCGTTGAGGACATTAAATTGGAATTAGAGGAAGTTATTATTATTTTTTTAATAAAAATAAATTTTTTATGACAGAAATACTATTTTCCAGTTTAGTTCCTAAAATTGTAAAAAGTTTATTGAATTACGTAAAAAATAGAAATGAAAAAAACTTATATACTTAGAAACAAATCAAAAATTTATTAAAAAAAATTTAGTAATAAATTTTTTTTAATAAATAAAGTAATAAAAAAAATATTTAGTAAAAAAAAAAAAAAAAAAAAAAATTCTACTCGATAAAAACTGCAACTCTAGCATTAAAAAAGAAATAATTGACAACAATAAAACTAACTTGTATAAATAACAAAAAAAATGAATATTCAAAATGTTTAAAATTATTTAGTCAAATTGTTATAAACCAAATAGATTGGATAAAAATAGCCTTAGAATGGAATAAAGGGAGAATCCAGACCATTTTGTAAGAGGGCGGTTTAAATTTCTTTTTTGATTTATGGAAGCAGACAATCTAGTAAGGAAGGATGGGGGGTGATTTTCAGGATTAATGATTTGTAAGCAAGTAATCACACAATTTGGAACTTGCACCATATAATTTTTTTAAATCTATAATTTTATTTAGACAGGCTGTCTAAGACAGCCTAAATATATTATTTTCGTTTTCAATCAACTTGCTGTGTTCAATATAAAAACTTACAAAATTAAAAAATTTAAAAGCTTTTAAAGGGAGGGAAGAGGGCAATTTCACCAATGCCTTCCCTATGGGTCCGCCCTTGCAATAGAGCAGGATTGAAAAGTTTGTTTTTTTCAAAAGGAATGACCTTTGTGAACTAAATTTGAAATTAAAGAAAAACTAAACTTAAATTATTCAGATGAGGCCAATAGTGTTTTTTATGCTACCTATATAATACCAACTTAGTTTCAGGTAAAAATATTTACGTGGAATATTAAGTTTTTTGTTATAACTATTGAAACTTGTGTCGTGGAAGAAACGTGACTATTGCTAAAACTTTCAAATTTTACTAACTATCTTAACTCATATTGAATTTAGATATTTATAAGTTTATTATAATTTGAATTAGATATTAAAAGGATGATGAGACTTCTAAGTCTTCTCGAGTTTCTTCGACAACATAATATTGAAAAAGGTTATTTAATATTTAATAATTTAATGCAACTTTACATCATGATTTTTCATTTATCTGTCAAAAGCTTTTAATACAGTATTATACTAATAGAATAAAATTGAATAATACTAAATAAAAATAGCTTACTTTGATTTAAAAGGTATTTAACAAATAAAAATCAACAAATGTTTTCCGTAATTTTTGCAAGTTTATCCAAATCGTTGTTGTTCTTAGTGTAGGTAAATGATTAATATCAGTGTAGATAAATGATTTATATCAGTTTTGATAAACGGCCTAATTCTTTAGTGGCTTCTACTTAACTTCCTTAGAAATTGGTAGCTGCCTCACAATCAATTTTTTTGCGGCAAAATATTCTGTTACCCGCCTCAAGTGGCTTCCGCCTCTATTGGTGCCACAGTTTTTACATGCAAAATGCTTTTTTTTCAAAATAAGGCCGACATCAATACGGAGGCGGAAACCTTTGATGGGCGCCTTAAGAAAAAGTTTGTTTTTAAGTTAACTAGCAATTTAGGGCGAATATTAAATTTAGGGCAAATATTTAAAATTGAACCTCAGTTGCGATTAATATGGTTCATTTTCGATCTTTTAAGTATATTTAATTAAAATTAGAATTTTGTCAAAGTAGTTTTGTTTTGTCAAAAAAAAAAAAAAAAAAAAAATTGTAATAAATTTGTAGTTTCAATTCGTATTTTTATTTATATTTCAATTTTTAACATTCGTATACAATATGAATGTTAAAAATTATAAATTTCGTTTCTATATTTTAGGGAAAAAAAACATTCAAGAAATCATAAGTTTATAACTAGGGGAAAGTCATGTAGACCCGGACGGCGGGTAACTCCAGACACTTTATGTACAGCTTTAACTAAAGAAGCTATGTGACTTTTAATACAATAATAACATTATTTTAGTGAATATGGCATATGCAAAATATATATCATAACATGTCGAAACGAATGACTTCTGTAGATTCTCTAAACTGTTTTTTTCAAAACAAAAAGAAATAGTAATCAACTAAACTTTTAGTCTAAAGTTTACAAATTGGAAATGTGTAAGAATGTTATGATTTTTTTTTTCATTTATTTTTATATTTTTTATTGGCTAAGTAAAATAACCAATGAACTTTAATTTCAATTTCAAATTCTTTTCTTTATACTGTAAACTTAACAATCTACGTGAAATGGTGGTTCAATCTAAAAGTCAAGAATGTAAGTCATACTTTGATAGACTTTTTAAATTTTTAAATCCGGAAAAATGTATAACTAACATTTTATATTTCAATAATTTTATTTATAGAATCTTAAGCTTGATGATCTACCTTTATTTTATTTTCACAAAGCTAGATATTATCAAACTTCAACTCTTTGATTAACAATAGATTTATTGTAATGACTCAAATTAAATTTAATATTAATTTTAGCTACTAAAGTGTTGTCTGAAATAGCAACCTTCAAGAATATTTTGGATTTTCTGGATATAAATGATGGCATTATTTCTCTCAAATATCCTGATTTTGTGTTAACCAATAGCCATTTTCTACAAATTTGCAAAGACAAAAATTAACATAACATAACATTAGAAAATCTTTCATAATTTTTTACAACCTACTGTAAGTATAATATCTCTAGAGTGATGCTTATAAGGATCTTAAAAAAGTTAAAAGGTTACTTTGTAAAATTAAATCGAGCCAAAAATTTGGACTTTAAAAAACATTTTTTAAGCTCTGCTTTATCTTTTAATGGTGCTTTTTCTGATGTTGTTGGTTTGTTACCTTCTGATACTTGTCCTACCCCTACTTCTATCTACAATAGTGAAATTGTTCCAAATCAAGTTACTGTTTTTGTATCTTCTGATTTAAATTTGCAAATTACTAATGATGATTTGTCGTGTCCTGTTACCTTCTGAATTTTTGGCTTCTGAATTTTCTAGTGAAATGAACCTTTTAGCAAAAGCTCAAGTGAGAGAGGCTATGTTGAATAGTAGAAACAATGTTCTTCATACAAATGGCACAAAATATAATTTTAGAGAGGTTGGTAGTTTTCAAGTCACAACATCATCTGGTAGCTACACGTTTGGGATAGAAGATATGTTTTCGGGAGAGGCACAATCTTATTTTGGAGAGCTAAAAAACTTACTCACTGATATGTCTAAGATATTTTCTCCTGGCAAGGAAAACTACAAGAATGATCTTAGGAAACTTATTTTTTCTTTCAAATCTTTGATGACAGATCGCACTATCGTTAATTCATGTTTTTTTCACCAATTTAAACATTGGAGAGAAGCAATTTTGCCTTTTGTTGTTGAAAACTATGATCAGCTTCCTTTAAATGAAAAATTAAAAATTTCTAAAATGCATCATGTTTTTTGTGGCTTACACGTTATCCACAATCTATGAATATATGCAGAAAAAGCAATAATAGAATGGGAAAAAGTGGTTGAGCAGGAAGGTAGTATTCATGGTGGTTTTAAAAGTTCTCAAAACTCTCGCACCTTTGATATTTTGTATGAACTTTCAAAACTTACAAGCTATCGGCATGGTGATCAGCGAAATGGAAAAGCTGATGAATGGAAAGCATTTTTGCGTAAAAGATTTTCAAAAAATTTTATGATTTCATTTCTGCATCATCGCTTTAATATTATATTTGTACTTGGTGAAGCAACGTATTATCATAAAGACCACCTTAAAGAATTTGTTTTCAATCTTGGTGGTTCAAATTTTCTTCATGAGTCAATTAGCCATGATATTGACAACATCATTTTTCATGCTTCATCTAGAGCTCTGGGAATTTTTAATAAAATCAAAAATGCAACTTTTCTGGGTTAATCCCACAGTCTAATATAAAACATTTATTGTTATTTATTGTTATTTCTACTATGGTATAAAATTACTTGTGAATTAGTAACCTTTTATTTACAAGTTCCAAGTCAAATATAGATTTTTGCAAAAACTGCAGCACACACATGATATGTCGACACAGAAGTCCAAATCCAGTTGAAAACCCGCAATTACAAGCATTTTTAAAAACATTATACTCGCTATGGGTGTTTTTGACAAGAAACCTATTTTCCAAATCCTGTATTGACATAAAATTTATATTGCTATATATGTAAATTGCTCTCATCAGTTTATATCAATTAAGTATTATACTAGTAACCTACCTCTTTTACATCATATTCATTTTTTTTCATTAGAAAATATTGTTCAACAATTAAATTCAAACAAAAAGATGACACTTTATCAGAATACTCTTTTAGAGCATCCGGAACATCTTTTCTAGTTTTGAGACGCTGATCAAAATCAGAGTGCATTATTTTTGAGTATATTACTCTATCCAAAGAAATCAACTTTTCTATCAGAATTCCTGGGCTTATTCTAGAAGTAGCAGTAACAGCTTTTAACGATCGGTGATATCTATATAGCAAAACAAATTACACACATTATTTAATTGAAATATAAACAGTGCAAGTAAATTTGTAAAACTATATTAAAAATATATGCCTTTCTAATCTGTTATTTGTGTGGTTGTTAAGGTGCATTACTCCATTTCGTTGATACCCAAAAAACATCTCCCCAATTGATAACCAGTTTCGTTCCAGATAAGCATAAAAATTGGGAAAAGCATTTTTAACAAAGTTTATTGCATCTTCACATTGTGCTTGGTTACCGTATACCATGCTTTGAATTTTCTTCAAAAAATTTAAATATGCTAACTGTTTTTACACTTATTTCCACATTCCACTTATATATTTATTTCATAATAAATCAAATACCTCATAAATTAAATCTTGCTCGCTTTCAGACACTGGCAACTTCTTAAGTTCCAGAACAAATGCTTTCACTATATGAAAACGACAAAGAAGAATTCTGCTTTTTGGAAAAACAGTTTTTATAGCAGAGATTTCAGCATAATCTTTATCAATAACAAACGTAGCAGCCTTTAGTAGATCACCTGTCCAACACCGAATATCTTCTAGGATCATCTCTAAATGAATCTGATCTTCTCTATCAACAAGACTATGCATTACTGGCTGACCTATTCCATTGCAGTCCACAATTGCAAGGGTGTACAATGGCATTGCCATATTGTTGACCTAAATATGAAGGCCATGTAAGACAATATGTTATAACATAAATTTAAAAATAATGCCATTAAAGCAAAATGAAAAGAACAGAGAGAAAAGCAAAACAAAGTAATAACAGATACTTTGTATGTACCATCCATCATAACAACTTCCGGAAACTTATGCAAAATGCTCTGTTGTTCTGGAGTGGACCAAGTAATAGCCTCAATGTATCCTTCCATATTAGCATGTATGTTATGTTTCGTACCAGTCAAAACATTTCTGATTTCATCAACAGCAGAACCTATAATAACATAAAAATTATTAATTTCAATTTAGTATTGAGTTCTTTTCAAATTAAAATTTATTTACCTCGAAACTTCATTTTCTGCTTTATATTATATATATCTTTCTGCTTTACCATTAATTTTTTATCTAACAAGTAGTTGGCAACAAGAGTTGGATTTGCGCCGTGATGAAGAAGAACCTCAGTTTCTTCAAGAATTTTCTTTGTAGGTTTTCTAGATGTTGAGTAGAGTTGAAATTCTTCAGCACCAATTGGATGGTTATGTTCAAGATTGATGTTGCGCACCATATATCCAGGTAATGCAGGATTGTATGCAATATACAATGCCACCTGTATATTAAACAAATGTATATTAAAATAGGCCATTAATAATCAATAATTACTGGATAGTTAAAAATATCTTTCATTACAATTTTTTTTTTTTTTTATTTTGATTGAAATGTTAAGTGGAATTTGGAATTGAATTAATGGAATTAATTCAATTCCAATTATGGAATTGAATTAATTCAATTATGGAATTGAATTAATATTCATTATTATATGTAAAACCATACCTGACAGCCACAAGGAAGTACTGATTGGTGATTTCTTTTTCCAGTCACACCATCTCTTTTTCTAGGTTGACCAAAATGTTTACAAACCCACCTAAATAACAAAATCAATTTAAAAAAATTATTACAATCATGATCACCACCAACATTATCACTAACAACAGCATCAACGATAACATAATCACCAGCACTTCAAATACCTGTATTTGTCAACCATACAGGAACAACAAAAGAGATAGCAGACTTTTCACCGTCATTGTTTTATCGTCCTTGTTTCTGCCCTTGCACAGGGTTGTCCAGATGTCACGAAACAAAAAAGTAACAAAGTTAAAAGACAAATTTGGTTTATTTACCTGTTGACTTTTGTTAAATATTATTTACAAAAATCTTATTAATTATAGTATTCATAAAATCATAGGAAGAGAAAGCAATAATAATAATAAAAATCAACTTCAATGTTATTTTAAATAAATAATTTGGCTTTCATATATACAAAATAGGTTAACTGAATCCAAAAAGCCATCCAAATAATACGATCTAAATAGAGAACATCTTTAAATAACAGTTTGTATACACAATTAAATAATAATTGAATAATTTGTAATATAACTTTTGCTAGACCTTAAAAGCACATTAGAAACAATTTACAAAAATATTCTTATTAACAATTTATTAGCGGCAAAATTATTGAAATCACTTTATAAGTATAAAAATTTTTTTGTTGACAAAATGTCAACAATGTCAAATTCGAATTAATCAGTTAGTTAAACATTAACAAATACTACACAAACGGTTAAAAAACCAATAGTTCATTGTACTTATTGACTTATCACTTTTGTCTTTTAATTTAATATTTTTCTATACACATTTACTATTATCTGATGTATTAGTAATATTTCATAATACTTTCCACATGGTTTTACTATCACCTTTCACCACACCCACTTTATTCTTTTAAATTTAAAAGTTTTTAAGTTTCTGCATTTTTTGTAATTCCATATTGTGTTAGACACATAGTGTTACCTTCTTTCTTCATTATTAAGAATTTTCTTTATTCATAGTTAACTTGTTTTGATATGTTGATAATACAAGGATTATTTAACCAGTTAGAGTATGGTGTTCTATTGTTTATTATCATTTTTGTTTTAATTTCAATTTTGACTTTCTCTTGAATGTTATAAATCATTATATTTGCCATTTCGTTACTATTTAGTTACTTATATCTTTATCATTTATTTTGATTTTATTTCTAATCATAATTTTCTTGTTTAGTTTATTGTAATTCATGTTTTCATACAGTTTAATAGTTTTATATTTTACTAACACATTGTCATATTTCTTAACTTTAATATCAAATTTACGTTTGACACTTACTACCTCATGATCTGACATTTTTGGCTGTACAGAATTGTCACTTTCTATATCATATTTAGTTTGAAAATAATTTGATCAACACAGGTACTTGTATGTTCAGTAATTCTTATGGGTACACAAGAGCTGGTATACTATGACTGTTTATGATCTTTAGACTAAGATTCTTGTTAACTATTTCGTATTTTTTTAAGAAGTTATTTTTTTTAGAATGTCAATGTTGAAATCTCCCATAACAATAACTTTTTTGTACTTACTGCTTACATCACTTATATATGATCCATAGAAATTAATAAATACGTTTATCAAGTTTTGATGAGGAGACCTATATACATATATCACACAAATAGACCTGTTAACATATTTCATTATTGTTTTTATTAACTACTATTCTGTGTCTTTGATATCTACTTCAGAATTCATCATTTTTATATCATCTCCAATCTTTTATATCATTTTTATACATCTACTTGTATGAACACTGGATGATAATACGCTTATTTCATTATATCCATTTATTTTAAATTCGTTATTGTTGTGATCCTTTTTTAAGTGTTAATAAATCTTTGTTTCAACTACAACAAATATTTCACGTTTAAAATCCCTAACAAATTGTTCCACCTCTGTTATTTTGTTCACTGAACCATTTATATTTACTAAAACACATTTAAATGTTCTATTAGTTTTTGGTTGCTATCTGATTCATATTTTAATCCTTGCTTTCACCACCATAAACAATGGACAGTTACGGTCATTAGCATAATCATTATATCGAAACTGAGGATCATATCAAATCTGAGGATGGTATTTTTATTTGTTGTTAAAGACAAAATGTAAATTCCAATTAATCAGTTAGTTAAACATTAACAAATACTACGCAAACGGTTAAAAAACCAATAATAAGTCAAGAATTATTAGAAAACAAAAAATTAAAGAGCAAGGAAATGGTTGACAGAGGACTCAAATCAAAAACTGTACGTTGTTTGAGTCAGGAAAACATAAAAATGGGAACAAATAGAGTTCCAAAGAGGAGGAAAAACCTAGATACAAATTTTTTTATAAAATGCAGAAACAAATACAGTAAAAGGATGAGACTTTAGTAAATGATGAGTCAAGCAAAGTTTTGTTTAATGAAACTAGAGATAATATCTCCTTTGGGCAACGACTATGGACTTTAATGTTTTAGAAATGTCGTAAAAAAATACACAAAAATTATAATAAATGCAATTTGTTATTTCATTAAGTAAACTTTTCAATTTTTTTAAATTACATTACTGAGAAAAACTATAATAATTTTTAGATGTTTATTCTTTACTCACAATGTAATACCATTCAAAATGTAACTTTACTAAAGATGAATTATTAAAATTTAAAAAAATGCCCTGCCAATTTAAATAAATATAAAGTACAGTCCTTCTAGAAAAATTTAATAAATAGAGTAGGCAAATGTTGTAACTTATTCTTTTATTCAGTACTATTGTTAATAAATGAGTTCAGAGATTTTTGCTGCGAATCAATAAATTTAAGGCAATAGACAAAAATTTATATTTCGTAAACATTAAAAAACTGTATTAAATAATAAAATCTATTCATATTTAACTTAATGGTTTTCTTGACTGGCATTATATCGTTAAAATCAATCTAAAAAAAAAAACAAGAGAAAAAAAGAAAACCTGCATGCGAATATCTCTTCTGTTGTGACAATAGCTTTATCAGCAATTAACTTTTTATTGTGACTAGCAACAGTTTCTTTACTATCTATCCTTAATGGATGATAATTTGTTAAAGCGAACTTATTGACTGCATTTATACAACTTTGAAAATCAGGGAAAGTATCTCCTAATTTTAGGCTTGCGGCCATTTTTAAAAAGCAATAATTTTGCCATGGAAATTTCTTTATTTTCAGTTAAAATACGCGCGTGTCACATGTCTAAAATAAGGTAATATGATTGGTTCACTGATATTAGCAATTTTCACCGGTTTATTACCAGTGTATATGCACTGGTAATAGCACTTTGCGTTATATATCATTAGAAAGAGGATCAATATAGTCTTTTAAAGGTGAAAAAATTATCAAAATCGAACAATTGGTTCAAAAGTTATGACGGTTTAAGTACCGATTTTTCGATATATGGAGTTGTTCAAAATTATGTTTTTCTTCACTTAAATTTTCATAACTTTGTAAATTCTTATAAAAATACAAATATATTGGTGTCAAAAGATAGGTATAAGAGTGGCCTACATTTTTTTGTTAAACTCTTACCATTGGGCGTATCGGATGGACAGAGGGGGGCATCAAACCACCACCTTACCCGTATGAAACTGAACATTTTTTCAGAAAAAATATCTTTTTCAAGACATTAGCACTTTAAATATACTAAAAAGTTGATATAAATATATATTTAACCATCAAAGTATATAAGAGGCGCATTTAAATGATAAAGGAGGGTGTGGTGGTGATGGTTTGATACACCCTACCATCAAATATGATTTGTTTTCATAAATATTTTTATCTTTACGAAAATGATTTCAATTAGTATGCAATATAAAATTATGTTCTACAAGAATTTTCGTATACAAGTGGTGTTTACATTGACATATGGGTGGAGGGGCGTATACCCCCCTCCCCTCTTTACCTCTGCCTGAAAAAGAGTAACATTGTCGATTAATTGGAGACTTAGTTGTTAAAATATTCTCCTACTACAGAGTGACTTAGTGACTACGATAAGTCAATAGCGGCAAAAAAAGTACTCAAAAGAAGGTATTTACCAACCTTTATAAATCTTCAAATCTTTCATAGTGCTTGATAGCAGTTTGGTTAACTAAAAGTTTGTCTGTCTCAAATTAAAAAACTAACAAAATGTTATTAACACTAAATAATGTTTGATTATTTTAATGATTCTTCTGATATTTCATAAAGTTTTGTCTTGGCTAATAGTGAATGATTACAATGATAAATTTTACTAATGAAATTATTTTATAATCATTTTTAACAATAGGCACCACGTGAAGGTAAGCCAGAGCCGTCTATCAAAAATGCATAGCAAGTCACAACACTTGCAGTATTTTTTTTTTTGCAAGTCACAACACTTGCAGCACTCTTTTTAGCAAGTCACAACTTTAGCAGTACTTTTTTTAGCGAGTCAAAACACTTGCAGTACTTTTTTTAGCAAGTCACAACACTTGCAGTACTTTTTTTAGCAAGTCACAACACTTGCAGTACTTTTTTTAACAAGTCACAACACTTGCAGTACTTTTTTTAGCAAGCAACAACACTTGCAGTACTTTTTTTAGCAAGTCACAACACTTGCAGTGTTAATAAATTAATTAAATTGTAACTCACCGGAAACAACATCAGCAGCGAGCTGGATCTTTTTCATGCAATAGTCAACAGCTTCAATATCAGTTTCATCATCTTTTCTGTAAGAAATGGTGTAAATGAAGTCATTTTTTCTTTTATTAACTTTTTCTATTCTGCCGTTTTACAAAAAACATTTTTGCATGATTTTGGATCATGTTCTAGTTTCTTCCCAACAATTCTATCTGACATAACATCTTCTAAATCAATTAGTTGGTCATTGGACAAGTGCTTACATTTTTGCATTTAAAAAAGTGATTGATTTCTCCTCCAAATATCAATGCTTTAATTTTTGGGCCCAAAACACCTACATATATATATATATATATAAGAATAATTATAATTTAACTTTCAACTTGTATTTAAGATTAACCACAAAAAAATTTACAAACATTATTGCAAGTATAACCTAATTTAAAAAACTTTTTTTTTTGTATTTAGTTAATGAAATAACATAATTTAGTTTTTAAAGCAGACAATTGACTGAAATGAAGTTTTTCAAACCAATTTAATCATTAAAAAATTTTAACTACTAAAAATAAATGGTATAAGAAGTGGAACAAACCTTATAAACATATTAAGGTTTGTTCCATTAATGTATTATCAATAAATTAATGAAACATTTAATACTATTAATATAAACATAAATTTATAATATAAACATAAA